TATTTGGTACATGTACAGAACGTTCAAAGTTATTTCTACTTTTAATTTTATAAGTATATTGACAGAACTGGCTACCAAGAAGGATGATGAGTGCATGGCGTGCTGCTGGAATCGTACATGCATTAGAGGGATGGGCTGCCCATGAGTGTGGAGAAACGGTTTTAGAAATTGAGAAAATATGGTCTGCTGCTCTGCAACATGGATTTCTTCCAGAAACACAAGTTTGATTATCAATGTGAATACAATGTGAGCTAGCATGCAACGTACTATTATATGATTTGCCAAAATCAAAAGACTTTAGTAGTCAAAGACAGCATGGGTAAAACCTTTATTTACTGGAATACGTTTGGAGCATGTAACATGAATTATGATATCAAATAATATAATAGAAAGGTTTCCACCGGAGTGATGTCACATAGATGTTGAAATGCCTACTTTGCTCTTAATATTTGAAGACAAGTTTCAGCTTCAGAAGAAAACATAGATGTTGAAATGCCTATAAATTTTCACATCAAGTGGATTATGATCTGCTTTTGAAAAATGGGGTGACTTGAAACATTGGCATTTTCACTAAGATGAGATTCATGAAACACACTCGAGATTGGAGGCTGAAAAAAATATTAGTATAAGGTCATATAAAGCCTGGCCCTCCAGAATATAAAAATAAATAAAAGGTATAACATCTGCCGCCTTGCAACTTGAGACCCATCATAAAGAAGAATTTCACAAAACATACTCCAAAATTAAGACCAAACAAATGTATAAGGATGAGTTCACATATAGCCTGATCCCTCAACAAGAATAGGAAAATAAAAATAATGTTAAAGCAGATAATTTCATTTATATCATTGTCACCCACCACCTTGCAGCTGGGAGCTCAACCATCCTTAAAGAAATATCCACCAAGGCCAAACAATTTTGAGCGACTAACACTCCCTTAAAAGTCAGGATATTTTTGTGGCTGCAATGATTAAGGATGATATTAAGGGTAATTGGGACAGCGAACATAGCTAGAGTTGGTCTAGGCTTCTATTGATAATACCAAAGATGTGAATACTATAATCTAGATATAACTTTGGATTCTAGATTGAAATTCATACCATTTGATGTGATGTAATACACTGGGACTATGTTTTACAAAAAAAAAAAGCTAATGATTTTGATGTGTTTTTAATCATGTAACAGGGAAAACGAATCAACTTTATGAAGATTTTGAAATGTTGATTTTGACAACATATGAAACATGGTTAAACAGATTACAACGTTTTAAAATTTTATTTCTAGAAAGCTGATGCATTGCAACTCACATCTAATTGCATGAACTTTCAACTAGAAAATCCAAAAATAAAATTTGAACCAATAGCATCCAGCTCTTTGATATTATTGAAACTAGCCAACCTCAACTCGGATAGTTGTATTCTTCGTTCATAACGAGTAGAAACACAAACACTAGAACACTTGCTTCTGCTTTGACTCTCCTCCAAAATGCATTTAGGACCATGTCAAGGATAGCGTTACCGAGGCATGTTTCTTCCCCTACTATCCTCTAGGAGAGCAAATAGCATATTTTGCACACGATTCTACTGGTGTGATCGGACGGAATTTTATAATTATGCTTCTCTTTAGTAAAGGCCTAAGCCTGATATTTTTTTGGTAGTAAAAAGTAACTAACATCCACATAGAAGGCGACGCATATAATGGGATTTTACAACTTATGGTCATCTCAGTGCATTTTGCTTTCGATAAACCTTTTTTTTTTTAGCAAAGCTCAAGGAAGCCAATTCCACAAATTTTACTCATAGAATATTCATATCAAAATCTCTCGAATCGATGCCCTATCTACCCGATGACATGAGCTACGAGATCAATCGCGACCTTCCCGCATTTGGTAATTGCAAGTTTCGTTGTTAGAAAACCCTAGTTTTTAAACCCCGTGAAGCTAATGAGGGTATCTATCATTCTCACTAACACCCATAGAACCCCAATTTTTCTCCACATTCCTAAATTTAATCATATTTGAGATCGAAATCAATGTCAAGAGCACAAACCCCATTTAGTCTAACGTGTGATCGATGATAAAAAAAATCCAAAAATCTCCAACAAAGATAACTTAATGAAATATATTTCATAACCTATGCCGTATAAAGTGTAATAATTAGACGCAAATCTAGTACAACCGGGCGAGTGAGGAAGGGGACAGGCGGGGTATCAAGAAAGAGTGTAGGAAATTATGGAGGTGATCTCGTTGAGGACGCGCTTGACTGTGTGTCTCGACGTGGGGGGGGGGAAAATTTTGGGGGGGGGGGGAACAGTGAAGAAAATCGGAACTCGAAACGTTAGGGCTTGTTTGGATTGAGGGGGAATAAGCAGGGAAGTTAGAGAACCATTCCTATTATTTGGGAACATTTAGAAGTTGAACAATTTTTCACTTTAGCCCTATTTAAATTTTTTTATTATTAAAATCGACCTTTTTTCTTTTATTTACCAAAACCGACCCGATTTCTTGATTAGCGGCTTAATCACGTTCCTAATTAGTCGGGGTTGCCAACCCCGACTATTTAGGATATTAATTTTTAGGGTTTAAGGCTTCTAATTAGGGTTTAAGACCCTCCTAAATAGTCGGGGTTGACAACCCCGACTAATTAGGAATGTGATTAAGCCGCTAATCAAGAAATCGGGTCGGTTTTGGTAAATAAAAGAAAAAAGGGTTGATTTTAATAATAAAAAATTTAAAAGGGCTAAAGTGAAAAATTGTTCTTTAGAAGTTCACCCCTTTAATAGAATAATTTTTTTTTCTAGGAATAAAATAAAATATTTTACTCTTCACTTTCATTCTCTTCTCTCACCTCGCTTAACTTACTTGAGACCCCACTGAAATCTAAACACGCTCTTAGGGACTGTTTGTTTTGACCAAATTTTTAGGAATCCTTCAGTTTTGGAACAAAAAGTAGGTTTTTTTATATTATAGGATTTCAAATCTGTCATTTGGTTTAATTTTTTTTTTAAGAATATCTTTATTAAAAGCTGACATGGCAACCCAATTTATGGAAAGCCAAAATCCTCTTTTTAGCTCGAAAATGGACTAGAAAGCTGACAACCATGTGACAACTCAGCATTTCCTCTCACAACTCTCTAAATTATTTGACAATGAAACAGACATGAGTTTTGGATATGTTTTCCTATTCTTCACTTAATCATTCCATATCAAACACAAGTTATTGATTCCTTTGATATCCAAATTTTTTTTTGAAATGGTTATTTGCTTTGGAATCCATTTCCATAATTTTATGGAAATGAACCAAATAGCACCTTAGTCTGCGTTTTGGTCATTTGCCTTTCGCCCCCTTCTGTGCTTTATAACATGGTTAACTTGATAAATTACTTAGTACTTCGACTCAACATTTTTTGTGCTAAAAAAGAGATTCGTTTTGTTTTTTTTTCTTCGTTTCTTCTTCTTTCTCTATTAAAAATTTAAGAAGTTCAGTCTTTGTAGGCTTTAGGGGATGTAAAGATATTTTGTGTTGATGTTTCATCCACAACGAGAATTATTCGGTGAAGAGGAGACAAATACCAGAACGAAGGGTACGATGGTTGTTGAATTTTGGCTTGAATCCAAAATGGGTGGGACCCATTTTAAATCTCTTCAAATCTCTGGGAGCAAAAGAATCAAAGAAGAGGCTGCAATTGTTAAAAGGACAAATTTTCAAAACCAACCTATTTGGACTTTTATTCCCAAAAAAAGACACGTTTCACATTTATTTAGAGAAACCGACCTGGTTTCAGCCTCAGCGCTGAAACCAGGTCGGTTTTTGAAAAAAACTCTCCGAAACTTCACGGGAGTTGAACTCCCGTGAAGTTTTTTGAACTACGAAACTTCACGGGAGTTCAACTCCCGTGAAGTTTCGGAGAGTTTTTTTTCAAAAACCGACCTGGTTTCAGCGCTGAGGCTGAAACCAGGTCGGTTTTTACAATTATTTTTGAATGGGGTCGTTTTTTGGGAATAAAAGTCCAAATAGGTTGGTTTAGAAAATTTGTCCATTGTTAAAAACGTTGGAGAAGAGAAGTGATTGATTAGGAGGTCGTTGTCAAGATGTCGCTCTCACTTCTCTTCTGCTGGATTCTCATAATCTCTCACTCTCTCTTAAAACTCTCAGTGTGTTTACAACTAGGCAAGAGAGCAAAACAAAAGAGAGTCCGCTCAAATTTTTGTTGGGATAATCAAACAATGGTAAAAACAAAATAATGTTGGGCATCTTTGTAAACAAAAACAACACCATAATTAAAAGGGGTGCCAGCCCAGAGCACTAAGTTTTCTTCGCCGTGCGCAGGGTCTGGGGACAGGTCGAGCCACCTTGGGTCTGTTGTTGGAAAAACAAAATCATGAGAAATATAAAAAAATCATAAAATTAGCGATATCAAGATTTTATACCAAAAATCAAGATTTAGCTTTTACATCAAATTTAAATATAAATGTATTGACATCAAATGAACTGGACTTCAAAGTTAAATCAGTTATGGAAGAATGCAAAAAAAAAGGGAGGAGAAAATTGATTCGAAGTCCGTTCGTATCATTGCTGTAATGATTACACTGAATCACAGAGTAGAAACATATATTGGTAGAAAAGAATTGAATTCTCCGAATTATAAAGCGAAAAACTAGCAGTATGCACGCTTCACATGCAAGATGCAACCCAAATCATAGAGCTCATTTTCTCATAGTCAGCTGAAATGAAATGAGCAAATGCTGCTACCTGGAAAAAAATATATCATGTACACAACTTAAGTTGATGCAAAGGTTAGACGAACTTCCAATGAAGAAAAAAAAAAAAAAAAGATTTGTCGAAACTCTGAAAACTAAGCAGTTGAGGAGTCCCAAAGGCCCACAGAGCACAGTTGCAAATTGACAGTGTTGAAAAGCTTCAGCAGCCGGGATTCGGTCAATACTGCAAGTGCACATGGAGGTTTACTAGCTTGCACCTTGAGTTATTATTTCCTGCAAAGAATATGAAGTACATATCAGATATTTAAGGACAATGCAGTAAGGAGACCTTACTCATTTAGGTAGAAGCCCTTGCCAGATAACCTTATCTTAGTATAGCGTACCTCTTATCGGGCAGTGTGCCTAAACATGTATATACACGCATATATTCATAGCATACATACATGTGTATATACATACATAATACACATACACAGAGAAGGAGAGAACAGGGAAATTTCGGATTTGGATCTTCCCCTTCGTGCCATATACATAAACCCATTTTAATCGTGCATACATATGTATGTACCTGCATGCGCACACCCACTGACCCACGCATGCATAATACACGTGCAGATGGACACCCTGTAGTATCGTTGCTTTGAATTTATGCTACCTTGTAGGTCCACAGTTACGGATGATTTTTTTTTACTCCTTTACCCTGGTTGGAATTTCTGAAGATATTGCCCATGGGTGAAACTGGTGAGTCTATCTGAGGGTAAAAGGGTCAAAAAATTCAACCCCGGGTCTATCTAGATATCTGCAGCAATGAGATTGTAGGGTAGCAAGTTTACATTAAGTTAATCTTACCCCTTGATTGTTTTATAAATAGTTACAGTTCAAACCAAATTTAACTAACGCCATCCCTGAATATTTGCACTCATTTGATTTTCGCACTCAAAGGAACCATAAACATCCAAGAAATAGTGCACAATAATGATTATGCATCCAATGTAAAAAAACAACAGATAAGAACATCCAAATCTTTACCAGCCAACCTTTATGTCTAAGTTCATCGCAACTAAGAAATAACTCAAAACTTAATGCATCAGCAGCAACAGCACGTGAAATATTCAGTGCCTTCTGCAATTTGTGAATGAGGACTCGATGAGGAAGTTTTCTTATAAGGGATCTTGAATTATAATTACTACCAAGTTATTAATTTTATTTGCACCAGAGTGCATTATAAGTTGATAAGGTCACATGAAGGCATAATACGAGAATATCTCAACAGCAGCAACAGCACGTGAAATATTCAGTGCCTTCTGCAATTTGTGAATGAGGACTCGATGAGGAAGTTTTCTTATAAGGGATCTTGAATTATAATTACTACCAAGTTATTAATTTTATTTGCACCAGAGTGCATTATAAGTTGATAAGGTCACATGAAGGCATAATACGAGAATATCTCAA